ACTGAACGGAGACTCGGGAAATCTAAATTCCAGCCCATGCTCAACCATGATGCACACTGGGAGACTTTGGATCAGTCACCGTCTCTCAGCCGAACCTACCTTGCAAGGCTGTTGTGAGGGTAAAATGGAGAGGATGAGGCAGATCATGGAAGGCATCTTGTGTTCCCTGAAGGAGTAAAGGTCCGTCTAAATGTAATAACAGAGGAGAGTCCCTGGGTAGTCCTTCAAATAGGGGACTGTAAAAGAGGACTGACCTGGTACTGACAGTAAAAATATCTGCACCCCACTTCAAGGAGAAGGAAGCTCCGGGTGGTGGGGACCATCTTTCTAGGACCTGAAGAATTCTGTGTGGCTTTCAAGCTTGCACGGCCGACTCTCGCCAGCAGGTATTGGTTCAGTGAAACGTTTCTCACATTGCTGACTATGATCTATCAATCAAATTAAATGTTCCGATGCCAAGACAGGCTGTGCTCATAGGAATTCAGCAGCTAGAGATGTAACATCACACCACTATCCGTGTTTTCCCAGCAATAAATTCCACGGCATTCCACTGGGCGTTTTCCAGGGTGAGCGTGCATCGGAACGCAGCTCCAAGCACCTTCTCGTTTCTGTCATTTCAATCTGAAGTCCCAGATCGCAGCAAAAGATGCACCCGCCCTCCCGACACACTCACACACACGCCAGCACAACTCAGTTGCTGAGTGCAAGGAGGCAGTTCATGGCTTTGGAATGGGCTGACCTCCTGCCTGCAGAAGTACAGGGAGTGCCTTCCCAAAAGCAGACGTGTTTCTGGTCTCCTTCCAGCTGCCCCTTGACTGTGTGCCTCCAGTGTCCAGAGAAGCTGGAGGTAGCCAAACACCTTGAACCAACAGCCTGTTCGGACAAAAGTTTAGACTTGGAATTACGAGTCGCATGGCCCTAACGCAAGCATCCGGGCTAATCTGAGAGTTTAAATTATTTATTTGCCTAACTTATATCCTGCTCTACTAGTCCGAAGACTCTCTCAAAAGCCACTTATGGAAGTACTAATAACTAAGGGGGACAAGAGCAGAGGCTACTGCAAACCCCCAAAGGTAGTTTAGGGGAACCAGTTCCCTAAACCATGTCGAATTGCACAGATTTTGTTCCATTCATCCCATCCGCATCTCACGGATTGTCACTGTCTGTCATTCCATCGTCTGCTCATGGACAGAATCGTCTATTTTTACCACAGTGTTTTTCTATGTGTACTAATTCACATTAGCGCTCGTGCAAACTTGCCGATGAACTAATGAATGTACATTAGTGCATTTCCACGTGCGTGCAGTGCTAATGCCATGTGAACATTAACACAAATCTCCCCCTTCCCAAAAATAAAGCGAAAAACCAGCCTTCAAGTCCAGATGGCAAAAGCCGGTTCATTACAGAATCCGCTGGCTGGAGTCATAGAAATCCAAAACACTTTTCAATTTATAGTGGATTTTTTTCAGCATCCCTATGATAACACTTGGGGTGCGGTACTCAGCGGGTAAGATGCTGAGCTTGTCGACCAGAAGGTTGGCAGTTCGAATCCCTAGTGCCGCATAACGGAGTGATCGCCCGTTACCTGCCCCAGCTTCTGCTTGCAGTTCAAAAGCACCCAAATGCAAGCAGATAAATAGGTACCACTTTGGTGGGAAGATAAGTGTTCCATCTGTGAAAGCCTCTAGTCTTGCTGGCCTCATGACCACGGAAGTGTCTCTGGACAATGCTGACTCTTCAGGTTAGAAACGGAGATGAGCATCACCCCTAGAGTCGGACACAACTACCACACACGTGCAGGGAAAACCTTTACCTTTGTTTATGATAACACTACCATCTGTATCATTGTTTCTCACCTGGAGTTCTGAAGTTGGTTCTCACTTCCCACCGATGTTAAGTTTTCCCCTGAAAGTTCTGGGGATCGCAGTTTATGGGCCTACCACATCTGTAGGAACGGGAGAACCCTTTGATTGGCTCATTCACACTTCCTGGACCGAAACACAAACAAATGCATGGTTATCGTTCAGGATGTGTGCCTCACTGAATTTTGTGATGCTGCTCTGTGGTCAAAATACACATTCAAAATGTGTAGAATAGGGGGAAGGTGAAGCAAAGTGTATACATTTGTGAAAATAATGCCCAAACCTGCATCCTGTTAGAGAAAATGGCTTGCAAAGATGCAGTGATTAGACAAAGAGCACACAGAATTGTGCATATTAAAGCATGAAAATGTTCATGTGGACTTAAAATTACAAAATGATGCAGTGATGGAACAGAACAAAATTAAGAGAGGAAAAGTGAGGACCTGAGTGAAACCAGGACAGGCAATTTCAACTACCCCAAACTTTACCCTTTTCCTGGCCAAGTCACTTGCTTTGATTACACTATTACTGGTGTTTTTATGCAGCTGTCTTCCATGTTCACCACTTGGATACCTTTGTGGAAAGCAGCATATAAATTTGAATAAATGAAATAAACATTTCTTATCTTCCCCTTTGTTATTCTCCCAGGACCCCTGAAGAACCAGATGCAATTCTAACAGAAATATGGAGAGAGTTGTCATTTGGAACCTGCAATTTACCATAAAAAGCACATTTGCTGCTACGAATTCTTCCTGTCTTTCTAGCTATTATCTTCTTATTCCATTCCTTGATAAATAAGCCCCCAATTTATACAGCATCCCATACCCTAGAAGGAAATGTTACAAGACTCCCCTTAAGTCTGTAAGTTTACATGTGCAGCTATTAAATGTGTTCAGTAGTGCAAATAGGGCTGGACTTTGGGGCTGAAATGCGGGGAACCAAATTATTCCGCAAAGAGTGTTAGGGGGCAGGGGCAGAAGAGCTGCAGAAATTGGGTCAGACCCCCCAGGATGAAGCTTTTCTCTCTTTGTTTCCTTCTGCTTTTAAAATGCATTGTGCTTTTGTGAAATATATTCCCAGAGTGGACATGCTCAGCACCAGAAACAAACTGCTTCATTCTGCTCCGTACGGTTTTCATGGACTGAAAATGCGAACTGCGGCTGCTTTTCCTCCCTTCAGTGAGGCTGGTTGAAAGGGTGTTGTCATTTTGCTCCACATACCAAGAATCTAGACTCAGGCATGGCGTGGTGGTGGTGGGTGGGTGAGAAAAGAAGGCGCCTTGGTTGATCTGCCCCGGGGGAAGCAGATCTGGCTTTCTGAGACTCCGGGTTTTCAGGAACACCCTCCCTGGCCCCCTCCCTCAGCAAGCCAGTCTTCCCCCTGCCTTGTCACCAGCTGCTGGTGCGGCTCATGTTTATTAATGCCACAGTGCGCTCGCTCGCTTGGCAGAGAGCGAGGCAAGAAGCAAGCAAGACGTCCTCCGTGCTTCTTTTCATCACCTCCATTGTCTGGACCAGGGTTCAAGGCATGGACAAGCAGATTGCAAAGGAAATGAGGAGGAACGTCACCAGTGAGGCAGGCCCCTGCCTCGGTCTGGGCCCTTGGCAGGGTTCCAGCCATGCCTCTCCCTTGGTGCCGGCCCAGCAAGCATGTAGATGAGCGATGTACATGGCAGTTCCTAGAACCAGGCCCCAAAGAAAGTTCGAAACCCTGCGGCCATTCGTATCTGCAAACCAGCTCTAGCAAGGAGGAGGTCTTTTAGAAAACAGATGGAACTTGAGCATCCACCCAAGGCTAGGACATCCTCCAAAATGCTTTGCCCAAGGGCAGGCATAATTCACTGCAATATATTACATTACATTTATAGGCCACTCTTCTTCCTCTTGCAAAGAATCCAAGGCAACTTGAAAGGTTCGCCTTCCCCTCCAGTTTATCCTCACAACAACCCTGTGAGGTAGGTAGGGGGAAGATTCTATGGCTGGCCCAATGTCATCCCATGAGCTTCATGGCTAAGCTTCCCCATCATAGTCCAAGCCTCTACCCACTAGGCCACACTGACTATAACAAATGCAACTTCTTTCAAATAAGTTTGATTGAATCAAAGAATTTTCCTTGCCAGAAGCACAGAAGTAATTGTGTATCTACTCCAACTAATGAAAAGAGTTCTTGATGGATCATATACTAGAACACTAGATAAAGTCAAAAAAAGAGATAGAAAAGAATCAAAAAACGTACCTTCTTTAAAAATAAGTCTTACTCGGGTGTCTTTAGGAAACTGCCATTTGGAAGCACATTTGTGTGCTCAAAAACTTGCTATATTGTCTAAGCTCCAATGTACATTCCTTTGGGATATAAATATCAATTTGATTAGCTAGCAGGTCTTGTCAGCTACAGTATCTTATCCCCTGGGGCATTTGAGCAATGACGTAGACCCAGGACTTCTGTAAAAGGCCTGGGGGGTCTTAAGTGAAGCCTATATAAGACAGGGTCCCTTCCCAAGCAAATAACCTCAGAGAAGAGCCATCCTTAGATTTTGGATCTTTCTGCCCCTGTCTCCTCCCAGCTTTGGAAACAGCCACAAGGTGAGTTTAGCTCTCAGCCTAGAGGGTTTTTATTTTGCAGTCATCGGAAACAACTGACCCATTAAAATAGCCCAACTGCATGGAGATTATCTCATTAATTAATTTGCGGTTCTCAGAGCAAATGCACGGTTGTGCATTGAGAGTTTTATGCCAAGGTGTTGGTTTTGCACAAACTTGGAAACCGGCTGTGAGGAACAAGCCCAGTCCTTCAACTCCATGTTCATCGCGTGGGAAGACAGAAAATCAGAGCCTGTGGGGACAACAGGAGCCGTCTAATTTTTTGAGGACGGGCAGCTCCCCTGCCTTGGACTGCACTCTCGGCTTCTCCTGCTCTTACTTCCCCAAGAAACAAGGAGGTGTCATATCGCTGCCCCATCTGGTGGTTGTGGAACAGCCAAGATCAAGACAAGCTCCGGCGACTGCAGCCGTGGCCAACCTGGAGAACTGCTTTCCCTGAACCCTCTACTTAAAAATGTTATTAGCCCTTGATTTTCCTGTCTTATCTTTAATTGCAGCTAATTATTTTTCCCTCCTCCTCCTCCTCCATAGCTCGGACATGGCACTGCTGGGCATCTTGACTGCTGCAGAAATCGCAGCTGCTCTACAAAGCTGTGAAGGTAATTTCTTTCTTCTCCAGTCTTGCCCTCCCCTCCCTCCTGCAGTGAGATAAAAATGTGTAACTTTCTCCGATCTTTTCTTCCATCCTCTATTCCTCATCCCGACTAACTGTATAGGGCAAATAAGATGGACGCCTTTCGCATTTGCATTTTCCCCGGAGCTAAAACCAAATTAAAAAACAGTGCCTTCCGTTGTTCTGAAGAGTTATTAAAAGAAGACAAAACAAAATAGCCAGATGTTCGAGAGTAGCTAGCCCATAATGTGCATTGAGCTGCACCTTCCGTGCATCAGAGCTGAATCAGTGCTATGTCAAATTTTTTCTGCAGTAGCAAAAAAACTTCCACAAATGAAGAGATCTATACACTTAAATAGCCACATTGAAGAGGAACAGGTGTATATAAGGCCAAAAAAATTTAAAATTCCTAATTTGAAAAGAAAAGATCAAGGGGACAGCTCTAATAAGTACTGGGATAAAATATAGCAGTCAGAGACATAGCCAATGTTAATGGACAGTTGCACAAAACCAATCATCCAGTGTTTTGCTTGGGACCTTAAAATACCCATTTTGAAGCTCAGTGTCTTACCAGACATGTAGCTTCCTGATGAAAAAAAATGAAGAGCTACCTTAATTGAAATGGATCAAGATGAAATGGTGCAAATGAACTGGTTGGGTTTTAATTCTTCAGATCATTTTTAACAGCAGCTTGGCTGTTTCTTTCTTCATTTTCTCACAAAAGGGGTGTAATGTTTAGGACTGACTTACCATCTAAAGACAGACACTTTTTCCCTCACTTTCACTGCTGTTGCCACTTCTGCAGAACTTCAAGCAATTCATCTTTTGGTGCATTACAGATACCCTGGTGTTGGGATGCTCCTTATCTCTCTGTATGGAGGTCAGGGTTTCTGTATTCTGTCACCTGCTGTCCAAATGACAAGGCGGCAAATACAGAGTGGACTCAGCGGAAAACAAGCTGTATGAAACAACAACCCAGAGCCCCACTGCAAATTTTCTATACCACCCTTCCCCTACCTGGTGCCCTCAAATCCAGATTGTTGGCCTACGAAGCCCATAACCCTCACCCAGTTCTGGATTATGGAGGCTGCAGTCCAGCACTTCACAATGGCAACAAGCTGGGGAAAGTTGAACTGTATCGTGGTCACACAAGAAAGAGCAAAGCGAGGGGAACTATGATTACAGAATTACTGCACAAGGAAGGAGGCACACAAGAGCTCAGCATTGCTATCTGACCTGGAAAAATATCCAGGCTCCCAAAATGGCAGCCCAGGGACACCTAGACGGCAGGCGTCGCTGGCTCCCACTGTGGCGTTGTGGTTAGAGCACTCAACTGGGGCGTAGGAATTGGGAGCTCTAGTCCCCATACAGCCGCAAAAACACAGTGGGTGATTCTGGGCCAGCCACTCCCTCTGCGCCTGGCCTGCCTCACAGGGTTGTTGTGAGGATAAACTGGAGGCTGGGGGAAGCACGCCAGCTGCCGGCGGTTCCTTGCAAAAAGAGGCAGGATAGAAACATAAGAAGTCAGAAAAATGGAAAAGGCATGAAAGGAGAATCTAGATTGCCAGATGTGAGGACAGGGCAGGCGCATGCTTAAATGCTTTTGCAGCATGTGTTTCTGGTGGAGGCATTCCTGGAAAAGCATCCAAATGCACACGTGCAGGACAACTCCCGTGATGTTTTTGCATCCCTGTGCTGCAACCTCCCAAACAGGGCACTTCCTCTATTAAGCCAATGGAAAATTTAGGGAAGCCATGCAAGCTTTTAAAGTCTCCAGGTCTTTTCATCAGGGAAGGGGCCAAGGAAAGAGACCCTGGTAGGGAAGGGGGGAAGAGCCCTTCTCATGGGCCCTACCAAGTGCCTCGAGGGCCTTGGTTTCAGGGCAGCGCAGAGCAGAGCAGATTAGCAGACAGTTGTTGCCTCACCATTTCTTAATCGTGAGGAAATCAGAGAATCGGTCCAAAGATCTGACACTGCTTGGGGATGAAAGGTCCTCCGAGAGCTCCCCTGCCTGGCCACAACACAACTCCAGTTCCTGCAACCCATTTGGATGCAAGCAACTTGAAATCCAACCCACAGCCTTCCTTTGGGCCCAACAGCACCCACCGTTAACTCCAAGCACAGGAGCAAAAAAAAAAAAAATCTAGGCTGGACAGTTAACCTTCCCTGGTGGATATTTCCAAAGCAGGGAGAAGAGGGCGCGGAAAGATCTAAGCACCTCTCCTCTCCTTCGTTGCTTTCTTGGGCAGTGACCCTGTCATAGGTAGAGGCATGTTTCCTAGTTGAAGAGATCTGGAAGTCTCCAAAGCTTTCCCTTCTCTTGCCTTTTCTTTAAAAAAAACTAAACAGACAAACAAAAATGGCACAACTATTTCTGGTTGAAATAAGGATCATCATCAGCTTCTACGTACTTTTTCTGTTAGGGAAATACGGATGAGGAAGGATCATGCTTTTTTTCTATTTCTTATTACTGCATTTAGAACCCACTTTTTTCCCTCCAGAGTGGCTTGCATGACCCTTGTCCATTTGGTCTTCACATCAACCCTGTGAGGTAGGCGAGGCTGAAAGGAAGTGACTGGTTATAGGAAGCACCAGGCTAATACTTGCTGCCTAACGCTGCTTATTCAAACTGATCTTGCCTGACTTGAGGGTTGGTGAGTTTAGGGTTTTCTCCAAATGGAACAATTCCAGTTTCTTGGTACTGACTCATATAAGCAGAAAGGTGTGCCAGGATATATGTGCAGTGAATTCACGTTGCAACTAGTTGTGTGATGCAATGCAACATTGTGTAATTGTTTCAGTGTGCATTCACTTTAGCTTAGCATATTGGCTGGGTTAAGCGGTTGAGTTTGAGTTCTCCTTGGACTGTGGGTTGTTGTTGAAACCCAGTTGTCTGAACTCAGTCAAGGCAACAAACCCTGATGAAGAAACCACAGTTCGAAACCCAACAGCAAAGCATGGATTCTCTTTATCGATTTTTTTTTTTAATATCCTGCCTTTTTCCTACAAAGGACTCAAGGCAGCTCACATCATTCTCCTCCTCCATCTTATCCCCACAACAACAACCCTGTGAGGCAGGTTGGGCTGAGAGTCTGTGACTGGCCCAAAGTCACCCAGTTGGCTCCATGGCCAAGCGGGGACTCGAACCCGGATCGCCTGAGTCCCAGTCCCATGCTCTTAACCACTACGCCACACTGGCTCTCTTTATAGGTGGTTTGTGATCCACAAGCCATGGTTTGTTAGCACAGGTGAGTCTAAACAACGAGAACAAGAAGATCTCCTTCTCCCATATATACCTACCTGCCCATTAAGATTTGGGCAGGAGATCCTTCTGAAAGAGCCGTCCCTCAAGGAGGTGAAAGCAACGGTAAAGAGAAGAAGGGGCTTCTCTGTGGCTGCCCCTCATGTGTGGAATAGACTCTGCAAAAAAATCTGCCTAGTACCAACATTGTTTTTGTTTCAGTGCCAAGCAAAGACATCTCTTTTCTGAGTGTTTCAACAATTGATTCGAATTCGATCTTTTATCCCTTTCTAACATCTTCTTGTCCTGTTTGCCTGATATAATTTTAATGTTTAATGGCTCTGTTATGGATTTTATATTTAATTGGCTTTATTGTTGTGGTGGTTTTTAGTATTTGTAATGATTCTATTGCAAGTTGCCTAGAGAATCCTTACGGACCAGTGGGTGACATAATTTTACAAATAAATAATTTTCAACAACAACCCATGGTTCAACAACAACTCATACCCAACACTTTGAGCCTGGTTTATCATGTTGTCTGAACCCAGCCATGTACTGGGCCTTTGGGAGGGGGGAGTTTGAGTCATCTGATCCATCGCTAACGCTGCCCATGAATCCTAGAATTAGCTCATCCAAGGACCATTTCACAAATCTATTCCTTCCACTTGTGCATTTTACCATTGCATTTTTGAACCATTCTGCAAAGCAAAACTCAGGCATCCATATTTCTCCAAAAAAAAAAAAAAGTCTGTTTTTGGTAGACTAATCAAAAGTGCATGCAATGGGGGAAACAAGGTTAAAGTGCATTAGGAAAATTGCTTGTAAAAATATTCATGTTAGGCAGACATCCATGCAAAAGAAGCCTGCACTAAAATTTTTTATTTCTTATGGAACATTTTTAAAAAATCTCAAAGTACTGAATGAAATTAAACTTCAGATTGGAAAAATGAAAAATTGCAAGAAACTGGAATTGATGGATTTGTCCATTCTCAATGGTAGAGCTGCAAAAGCCCTACCATTGAGATTTATTTGCCAGGTTATTATTATTTCCAGAGAGACAGCGTGGTCTATTGGTTAGAGTGCCAGACTGGGACTCAGGAAATCCAGGTTCTAGTCCCCACTCAGCTCTGAGTTCACTGAATGACTTCTGTTAGCCTGCCCCACCTCATAGGTCTGTTAGGATAAAATGGAGGGGAAAAGTATGTAAGCAGCCCAGACTATTTTCATCCAAGCACCCTGTGGCAGCTTATGTAGCCTCCTTCCTCTGCAGTTTCTCTTCACAACGACCCTGTGAGGTAGGCTAGGCCAGGAGCCCATGACTGGGTCTCATAGCACCAGAGCCCACCATGGGCTCATTTCCCTGCAGAGGCTGTCGTGCCATACAGGTGTCCGTGATGCTATGCTATGCCTTAGCATACAGGTGTCCGTGCCATACAGGTGTCCGTGATGCTATGCTATGCCTTCCATGTCATACTAAGCCAAGCCTCGGGGTTGTTTGAGAGTTAGACCCTCAAAACCCCATGGCTTGCTTAGAGTTATTGAGGGCCCCCTCATGCTCAAGCCCCACCACCTGGGCTTGTAGGACGTGGTCAGTCACTGCAAGCCAGGTAACTGACGCAACGCAACAGCCACTGTGGTTAAATTAACCCATGGCGGGCGCTCAGACCATGCGAACCAGGTTGATCACTGGCCCAAAACCACCCGATCAGCTTTCTCGCCAAGTGTGGACTCTCCAGTCCCAGAACAACATGCTGACCACTGCATCACACTCGTTTGTGCTTGGCATTCACGATACCTTGGACTAAAGCGCTTCCTTTCATCTCTTCCCTCTTTCTGCACCCTGTGCTTCTCTTTCTGGTTCTTGATTCTCACTCAAGCTTTGGATTCATTCTGCTGCAAGACCTTTTTTGCTAAAGCCAGCTTGACCGGCAAATCCAAAGAGGAACTGTCCAAGGTGTTCGGAGTCATTGACCAGGACAAGAGTGGATTCATTGAGGAAGAAGAACTGAGGTGAGTACGAAAAAAGCCACAACATACGGAGAGATCTTACTTTCCGTTCTATGGCATCCCTTCTTGCAGAGGAAATCTACACTTTGCAGAAAGTCCCATCTCTCCCTGGGACTTTTTGAGCCAGAAGTAAAACTAAGCCTAAAGGTATGTATTCCTTCATTTGATTTGTATCCCACCCTATAAAACATGAAGAACAAAAATGGGAGCTAAGTGACAAATATAAAGCACATGTTAAGAGCGCAGGACTGGGACTCGGGCGATCTGGGTTCGAGTCCCCGCTCAGCCATGGAGCCAACTGGGTGACTTTGGGCCAGCCACAGCCTCTCAGCCCAACCTGCCTTGCAGAGTTGTTGTTGTGGGGATAAGATTAAGAGCAGGAGGAGAAGAATTATGTCTGCCCCTTTGAGTTTCTTGTAAGAAAGAAGCAGGATAGAATTCTAATAAAAATATATAGCAGAATGCAGTAAAAGCACTAATGCAACCTATTAAGCAATCAAGAAATGAACGGTTGCCTATACCCCCAAAGCCTGTAAAAATAAGCCTTGGCATCTATGTGTATGTGTTGTGTTTGTGTGCATGTGTGCATGTGTGTAGAGAGACAGAGGAGCAAAGCAGCATAGAATCAGTGAGGTGCTGGATCTGTTATGGATGCAGTCAGACTTAAGTTAAAATATATAAGACAGACTGATAGGCTGAAGACCCCATCCGATGACTGTCTGACATTCCTGGGGGCACATTGAGTAGGTTGGCGTCCCAGCTGCAACCTTGGAAAAACAGAAATTGAGCGAGAAGGGGCCTCCCGGGTCATCCAGTCTGACCCCCGGCTCCACTCACGACATGCCTACCAGGTGCATGTCCAGCCTGTCCTTGAACACCCGCACCAAGGGGGCCTCAACCACCTCCCGTGGAAGCCCATTCCACACCCTCGGGGTCCTGACTGTCAGGAAGAACTTCCTGGCATCCAAACTGAACCTCGGTTCCCTGAGCTTGGCTCCATTGGAGAGCATCCTGCCTTCCTCTGCAGGGGAGAACAGGTCTCTGAGATGAGAGCAAAGACCTCTGCTTCGTCCTCTGAGGCTCCCGCCGCACCTCTCGGCCAGGGTGGGTCTTTCCACGCTGGCAGCACTCCAGAGATGCGAGAAGGTGGCAGGATGTTCCAGAGAGTGGAGAAAGGGGGGAACGAGGCAGGGCCATCCTTGAAAACATGCCGGGGCTGCCTTTCCTGCTTGCAGGGAGGGAAAAAGACGTTTTGATGGCCAAAACTGGATGCCTGAATATTGCAAGCCTGGAGCACCTTGGGCAACCACTCTGGGTGGCACCCCGGTGATGACAAAATGTATTTAAAGCTAAACAGTTTGTCCACTGCTTTGGGCTGTTAAATCAATACAAAGGATGACGGTTTGGAATACAGCAGGACGAAGGAAGGGGAAGCAAGAAGCGAGACCTAGCAGTGAGAAAGCTGGACAGGAACTCGGGAGATCCAGGCTCTAGCCCCCACTTGGCCGTGAAGCTCAGCAGGCGACTTGGGGTAGTCACAGATTCTCTGCCTAACCTACCGCACAGGGTTGTTGTTGTGAGGGAAACACAGGGAGGAGAAGCACCTTGTAAGTCACCTTGCACTCTGTGCAAGAGAATGAATGCTGGGATATGAATATAATGAGAATAATGCCCACAACAATGTTTATGCCGGGCTAGTGATGCACAGACTAATATTGCTGAGTTCCTAGATCCAGGTATTTTCCCTTCCGGGAAGCATGTCAGTGTCCTTTTTTCAGTGGGAACCACTTGCAAATCATTTGTGTTGCTTTTATTGTAAAACCATCCCAAGACACTAGCAGCTGGACAGGATGTAAAAGCTTTAAACGAATAGATAAATAAACCTGGGAGACTTGGCACAGGCCAGTTAAAATGTTTTGCAGTGCTGAAATCTGTTTTGCTAAGAAAGAAGTGCAGATTTGTAGATACCGAATCTTGTTCTTAGTTCCAGTGCAGGTTTTCCTACATATTGCATAGAGCAGTTTTTGGGTTTTTTTTTTTTTCATTCCAGTGGGTGCATGTTTACTGATTCTATTACAATGCATTCCGATAGTCACCGTGCTCTCAAACAAGTTGCACGAGAGAGAGAAATCCTTCCCAAGCTGGAATTCTCCAGATGTTTTGGACTTCCCCATCTGCCATCATGACTAATGCTCTGGAATGCTGGGAGCCATACCGACAGTTGGAGAGCCTGTTGCACCTATACACAAACCTTGCATAATATTCAGCTCACCATCCAGCCCAATTTCAGTGCTTTGCCATTTAATCAGGATAAAGAGAAAAGACTCTTTAGGAGCTTTAAATAAATAAATACATGCTTGAAGCTTTTCCTCCGAAATCACAGTGTTTCAAAGTGCACGGTGCCAGCCAGGTTGTGCAGCATTATCCATCTCGAACCTGGAGAATAAGTTGGCCTTAAAAAAAACTTTCTATCTTATGGAAAACCCTAGCCCCCCCCCACCCCCACCCCCAAAAAGGGAGTTGCTCTAATGCCAATAGAATAAGAGCTGGCCCGCATCTTGCAGTCCTTCCCCTGATCTACCCGTTCCTCTCTCACAGCAAATTCCTGCAGAATTTTAAGGATGGTGCCAGAGTTTTGACTGATAAAGAGACCAAGGAATTCCTGGCAAAAGGCGACACCGACGGAGACGGCAAAATTGGAGTGGACGGTAAGTGCGCACTAAGGGAGCCCTTCATGCTGGGTGCCGAGGCTGCCACTGCCACGCTTTCCCCTTGGAACAATTTGCTATTCTTTACCCAAAGTTTTTTGCCTGGGGCAAATAGCGGAAACATGTGGGAATTATCAGGAAAATACTGCAAGAGGTACCTGTTGCAGCCCTAAGACGTGAGGCCCTCCTCCAAGAGGAGGGCCTCATGGGTGGCGACACCCTGCTTGTGGAATGCTTTCTCCAAAGAGGCTCACCGGGATCCTACGCTATAGACTTTCTGGGGTGATTTCTTTATTCTCCCAGGCATTTAAAAAAGAGTTTTAGTGCTGTCTAGATCTCCGCACTTTTTCCTGGATGGAAAAGCAATCCATCCCACCCCCTTTCCCACCCCGACCCTCCTAGCTACTGTGTGAATTGTAGAGCAAGGTCAGAGGGGATTCTGAAGGGGGGGGCAGATGACATGAGTTACCACCCCGACCCTTTTGGAGTAGCAGGACTTGCTCTCCCCTGCACCACTTGGCCCCCAAGGCAGAAATGAGTGGAAGTCCTAGAAAGAATCCATATGAATTGCGGGGAAATGGGAAGGGTGTCTTTCCCCCTGTCCTAAGCACATGATAATGAAATCTGGATTTTGCTTTTGTTTTCTTTCCTAGAGTTCATAGCCCTCGTTAAATGTTAAAGTGATCAGGAGGAAGACCAAAGCCAATTGTATTGTAAAACACTCTTTCTTATTACAACTCTATTTATTTAAACATTTTATACAGTGAAATGGCACGGACAGTTGCCAGTATATTATCTCTTATTGTTAGAGAACTGTGTTAACTCATCAACACGCTGTTTGATCTTTCTTATTGTCTAGCATTGTAAATTCATAATTCAAAGGGCTTTACATCAAACAAGAGACAACGCTGGAACCTAAAGAGAAGAACTTTGAACTTCTGGTTTCATTTGCATTAGATTCTATTGGGAATATTAAGTAAGTATGAGATTTCAAAGATCTCTCTCTAAGGCAAGACAAAACATCCATCTCCCCTCCATCCGAGGTCCATGACACAGGAAAAGAAAAATCACATTGATTTGTGCTTATGTTCAAACTAAACAAAGCTACCCAAGAATGTTTAAACTAATCTTTCCCTGACATAACCAACTTCATGAACTGCCTTGCTATAGTAACACCGGTGGAATTGTTCATCCATACATATAAAGTGACTTCATCATTCACTAATGTCTCTTTTTTTTTCTTGTCACTGATATTATGTCCTTCAGTTCCTGTGTTTACATGATGAATGAATAATTGGCCACCAGACTGGGCTAATTGCCTCATGCTTTGAAACCATTTGTAGATTTCTAATCTGTTGTGTGGGTTCAGGGGACACCAGTCCACCTTCCCAAACTCTGCACCCTCCCCCAGATATGGGAACAGGGTCCATCACAGGATACATCAAGAAGATGGGAAGGGAGACATGTGGAAAGTGGGATACCCTCTATGGAGAAAGGCACAAGTTCCGCACTTCAGGTCAGTTCATTAGAGAACTGTCTCCTCATGAGCAATTCTCCGCTCAAATGTGACAGCCTTCCCATGAGCAAGATAAGGGAAACAGAGGCGGCTTGGTTGGAAGGCTCTGGACAGAAGGCAAGAGAGACTAGAGGCTAAGGAATTATGCAGCTAGAGTGGCCAGATGGATGGGTCTCCTGCACCTTTAGTAGCTGTGTGCCCTCACCTATTAATAGCACATGTCTCACTGCTATTAAAGGTACAGAAGCCCCATCTTTTTTCCATAGAGCCACTGTATCTGTGGCAAAGCAGCAGCAGTGGCAGGAGGAAGAGCACAGTTCTCCACTGCCTGATGTTGGCCTCTCGTCTCTGCTTCATGGGAGAGATGGCCTAACAGCAAGTATCAGGTAAGGATAGTAGGCCAGTTCTGTCTGATAGAGACAGTGGGGACCCAAGGTTTCTTCTGCCCTCTTGCTCATACTGACTTGGAACACCTTAAATAAGGTAGGATGGGGCAGGCAGTTCCACAATTTTATCCTTCCAAATTTTATTTTGGAAGGATTAAAGTTGGTGGCCGTGTATCTCAGATCTCAAACAGGGCTGGTCAAGCAACTGAGAGCAATTCTAAGGGTCTGCTTGGTTGTTACCACCTGAGGGCAAGACACGTGCTCTGCCCCTTGAGGGGTATCCCTCGCAATAGCTCCAATGGCTGGGGAGGCATGACTTTCAGCTCACACGCAACTGCGCAAGATCCAGAACATCGCTCCCAGTTCCAGGTGCAGCATCTTCTGCAAGACTGCAAGAAAGCTGGCATTGTTGCCAGCTAGGATAAAACAGGTCTCGCAGGGCAACGAGGATGAAATTAGAGAGCTGTGTAGTGCGGGGAGGGGGAGGGAACTGGTGGCAGGAAGAAGAACCTGGATGCCGCTGGTTTCCAGTGGCAAAGTGTTTACCCATATATCAAACCAGTGCTGGCAGTTTGCTCCTCCATCAGGAGGAGCTCATGTGCCAAGATGATGCATCTGAGTTGCCCATTCAAGAGCAAACCACTGCAATATATTTTGCATTATAATGGAGGAAGGTCGTTCCTCTTCAGCCTCTGTCCAGCTGCTATTAGAATCACAGGGAGGAAGTGCGAGGGCGGGTAGCAACTGACTACTTTTAGCCATCTCACTAGCCCAAAGTTGACCCTGCGGCATCCTTGCGAGCCCCGTCCCACAACACCTCTTGGCGTTTCCCTTAATTACAAGTCAAGACAAAGGAATTTGTCTGTGGCTCAGCATGGGAAGTTAAGGATAATACAATAAACTGTGCATTCTTCAGAAATGTTTGACCACTTGATGGCACTCTTGTTTTACTCACAGGCTCACCATACCGCAGTTGAAACTATCCAGATAGTTCTATCAACAATTCTCTGCCAAACTTTTCATGCCTTCTTCTAGAAAAGCTGTCCCCGACAAAGAGAAACAACTCACAGCACCCAGGGCTTTCCCTCGATAATTCTGTCCTGAGTGGGCATGTTCCAAAAGGACGAAGTGGCCGGGCTGGTTGTGAAATAGAAACCCACCTCTATGTTCTGAAAGGTAGTACAACTTTTCATTTAACGTTTTGCCCAAGCTGAATCCTAGGTGTCTGTGACAACAGACTCTGCTGCTCTAACTGGATATGTCTCAAAGACAAATATGTGGAAACACCCAAAGAGTTAAGAATCAAATGGTTCAACACGCATTACCAGGCAAGCAGGTGGCTTCCAGAAGAGACAGCCAAGACCAAAACGGAGACAATCAAGCGCAACACACAGTCCAAGGAGCAGAGTCAGGCAGGAGACCAAGGGCTGGTAACTCCGAAGCTCAATCCCACAGAAGGGTCAGGAGAGCACGACATTGGAGCTCAAAGGATCCTGCTGCTCCGGCAAGAGCTAGCCCAAAACTGAAACATGGTGCAGCCACAGTTCATAAGCTCCAGCTGTAGATAGTTATAATCCTCAGGTTGAAAGCCCTCTTCACAAGAAGGCCCTTGCTCATGAGGAGTCCTTTCCTCTTGGGGAGTTGTTCTTTATCATTTATTTATTTTTCGATTTGTATCCTGCCTTTTTCCTACAAAGGGCTCAAGGCAGCTTACATCATCTCTCCTCCTTCATCTTATCCCCACAACAACAACCCTGTGAGGTGGGTTGGGCTGAGAGTCTGTGACTGGCCCAAAGTCACCCAGTTGGCTCCATGGCCGAGTGGGGACTAGAACCCAGATCGTCTGAGTCCCAGTCCCATGCTCTGAACAACTACACCACACTGGCTCTCCTCAAATTAGCCCCGCTGGCCTGCTTCTAGGGAAACCAGAGCAGTGAGTTGGTTAGAGTACTGGATGGAGGGTCTGGAAGACCCGGGTTCAAGTCCCCACTGGGTGAGTTGCTCAGTCTTAGCCTAACCTACCTCACAGGGGGGTTATTGTGAGGATGAAATGAGCTATGCAAGCTGACCTGGGTTCCGCATGAGAGGAATTAAGGTGGGTTATAACTGCAATGTCATCATGGAACCCAGAACCTCCCAAGTCCCAGTCCAGTGCTCTAACCACTACATCATACTGTCTCTCCACCCTGCCATCTTGACTAGAAGAATAAATGGCATTTGCTTCTGCTGCCCTGATGCTAATCACATATTCTCGGGAGACAATTTGCAGCAGAAAAGCAGAATAAATATCTAAAGAAAAAGCCACTGAGCATCTGTCAGCTTCAACTGTAAAATGTTTTTCAAAATAAGCAATGAGCTATGCAAGCTGGCCTGGGAGGATCCTGCAGTGAGTAGCTTCAGCTTTGGCCAGGTGTGGATGTAAGGTCTGGTCGCCATTTCCCCATCACCTGCCTCTCTCGGTGGTGATTTGGGAGGCCCTGAGTGGCAAGGCCTTTGACATCAACCCCAAGCTTGAACCCACGCTTCATGCATCCGCCGGCCTCTCTCTGCATCCACTGCATTTTTTTTAAAGATAAGAAACAGAAGAGCTGAAGCAGAAAGGAATAATAAACAGTACTCAGCCAGAACCTTCCCTCTTGGCTCAACATTTTTTATCCGATTCTCAAGGGAGTTTTTCTAAACCTTTCATCATCCTCTAACCTTTAAGGCACAGTTACTGTTCAATTAACAGGGAAAATCTGAATAATTCAGCAATCTGGAGGCCTCTGTCCCTGATTGTGCAGCTTCCTGTAACCAGATTGCGTGGAGCATTGAGGTCACGAAATAGTTTTCTTGGGTCAAGGATGGCAATTCACAATCCTCATAAAAGAGATGACTGTCAAAACAGAAGCAATTGCAACAGATGTGCCTTAAATATGCCCACAAAGTTGTGTGTCCAGTACAGAGCATAAACTGCTCGGATGATTGTGCTGCTAATAAAATTTAATGTCTGGGATTTTTCATAAACAAAAGGAAGAAAGCCCAGGTCCAGCAAACTGTGCCAGCAACTTGATGGAGGCTGGTGACTCCAAGGACGGCAGGGTTGTACAGACACTCCAGATTTTTGTCAGCAGTTTGAAGGGCTATCCATGGCGCTGAACCCTAGCTCTTTAAAAGTTCAGAGTAAAAGCTGGAGTGGATGCACAGCCCTGCTGATGGAGGAGCCACCCTGGAAGGACCATCTCCTGGGGTGGTCTTTTCAATGCTGGACTGGGGATCTGGGAGCTCCAGGTTCTAGTCAACACAGTCATGAGGCCCTCGGGGTGACTTTGGGCCAATTGCAGACTCTCATCCTAACCAACCTCACAGGACTGTTGTGAAATAAATTGCAGAAGAGGAGAAGCTTGGAAGCCACCTTGGGTTCTTTGCAGGAGGAAGAAAGGTATACAGTGCTGTCCAGGGTATAACATAATGTAATAAATTTATTTATTTATTTATTTATTTATTAAAACATTTTTATGCCGCCCCATTCGCCGAAGCCTCGGGGCAGCTTACAACATAGATGCATGATAAACATCTATAATGAGTGTGGGAAAGCCCAGTCTGGCCCAGCGGGGGTCCTAATGCAGCCCCAGCTGGCCACACTTCCTTTTCCTTGACCACTGATTGGTTGTCTTGGTTTAGACTCATTTTCCTCCTTTTTCGAAATGTCTCTCCTTAGGCTTGGTTTAGGATAGCCTTCCCCAGCCTTGTGCCTTCCAGACACATTTGGACTGCAACACCCAGAATCCCCAGTCA